ATTTTATTCTCTTTGGCACCATTTTCATTCTTTTACAGACACTATTTCCTTCCAAAATTGTAAAATTTTGAGAGTCTTTTTTCCCCCCATTTGGAATTTTCAATAATACTACTAGTTGCAAAAATTTAAGAAGGCAGAAACCTACAATGACACTTTAAAGGAAGATCTCATTATTTAAAAGCCCAGGTATGCATGTTTAGCAAAGTGTTTAGTTGTCAATGTCAACTCTTTCAGGGTAAGAATGATGTCATATTCACCAGTGTGTCTTAGCACCCAACAGCATGCCTGGTATAGACGCCTCCTCTGAGTCTCCGAATGCGTTACTCTTTCCTCCTAGTTGTAGGACTTCCACTCAGCCAGCGTTCCTGTGGGTCTGGATGATGTCCCTTCCGTCTTTTAGTTTCACTTTTGAAATGGTTGTTCGAGGCGGCAAACTCCGGCGTTAACCTATGCCGCCATCTTGGTTCTTCCTGGAATTTTCAATAATACTACTAGTTGCAAAAATTTAAGAAGGCAGAAACCTACAATGACACTTTAAAGGAAGATCTCATTATTTAAAAGCCCAGGTATGCATGTTTAGCAAAGTGTTTAGTTGTCAATGTCAACTCTTTCAGGGTAAGAATGATGTCATATTCACCAGTGTGTCTTAGCACCCAACAGCATGCCTGGTATAGAGTCAACCTTATTTTGAATAAATGCATAGAGCAGCCTTATATGGTGGTAAACAGGAATGCAGGGATGATATTAACATTTCTGTTTTATTCATATGGAAACTAAAGCTTAGAGAAGATTTGCCCAAGTTTTATTCCTACAGCAATATGTGAGAAAATTCATGCCAAAATCCCAGTATGTCAATTAATGTTTCACCTGGCAGATTCTCATTCTAATGAAAGGGACTTGCATCAATATCCCCCCAAATTATCCCAGTACAGTTTATGATTTCTCCTTATCAAACATCAATTTATGTTGAGATCCATGAATTATTATTGTTCACCTAGAAATAAAAAAATAATTTGTATGATTGTATACAACCCTGGTAAGGGCATTTATTGTTTAATTCTAATGTTAAATAAAGGAAAAAAAAAAACATGAATCTTTAAAACTATGGGCAGAAAAAGCTGGAAGAGCTGCACATGACATTCTTCTTGGCCATTTGATATGCAGGCAATTTTTATGTGGTAGGAAAAGGCTTTCAAAGGGATAAGTGGATGAATGCAGTTGAATAAGGCATAATAAGCCTCAGGATGATGTGGAATGTCATCACCTCCTTCACCCTTCTGCCCACGTTGTACTTATATATAATATTTAATTAAATATTAATAAATATTTTAATTACACTAAACTAACCAATATAATCAATGAAAAACTCTTTAAAATGTAAATGAAGGGACAAAAGATAAATTTTATAATAATAACAGGGTGCACTTATTAGGTACACACTATATCAGATACCAGGGGCATATATATTATGCCCCTGTTTTACATAGGGGCATAAAAGCGAGTAAGACACTCTCCCTGTTGCTCACAGCCTGGTGGGGATAGAAGCCCCTATCATTGCCCTGCCAGGGATTTCTTCCTCTAACAGCGCCCTCTTCCTGGAATGTTCCATTTCCTTCAAGCACAATTTTTGTATGTAAACTTAAAACCAAAAGCATTTGCAAGTACTCATCTATCTCCTTTTGTCCTCATAACAGTCATGTTCGATCTGTATGGAAAATATTCTAATTATATTGTTTTAATAAATGAACTGACAGAACTTGGGTTTTTTTTTAAAAAAAAAAACCTCTAGTTTCCTAACTTCAGGTAATATGTGGATACTTTCAAGTACAACACAGTGAATAGGTAGAAAGACGTTGGGTTGTCCTTAAGGTACAGAGACCTGGGTCTGATTCCTGACTGGGTTACTTAGCTTCTCCGGTTTAATATCTTTATTGGGAAAATGGGGCAAAGACTTACTTTGTAGGTTTATTGTAAGGATTATAAATAACATAGGCAAAGTGATGGCACAAAGTAGTTTTTCAATAAATAATAGCTGCCATCCTGATATTGCCTTCGAATATAACAACTTTTCAAAAAATACATATTTTTATGAAAAAAGAAAACCTTTATTTTCCAGGTTCATTTTAAGGAACAAAGTTATTCTTTGGAATCTAGAATTACAGTAAAGTGAAAAAAATTAGATTTTTTTAATAGAAAATAATATTGAGTAGGGGTAGGAAATTTCACTAAAGAGACTTACAAGTGGCAATTGCTCTATTTCACATTGCTGTATATTACACATTGTCATTAAATGCAGCCATAATTGTTCTATTAAAATATTAGCATACAGCTATAGAGAATATCATAATGAGAAGGAAACAAAGGGAAGAAATCTCAGTTACACCCAAAACATAATTATGCTTCAAGCTCTAACGAACAAAAGTGAATATTTAGTTGAATTTTAATATAATTTTATATGAAATTTATTTTTATTCTATAATGCACAATATGTTTTTATTGATCTCACTTTTTAAAAGTCACTCGTTGTGTTGTGAAAATCATGGTTTTTACATAGTTTCTGTAATCCTGAGAGTATAGCATAGTCAGGATTGCATCAGGAAAGCAGAGCCACCATGAGTCTTATGGGAAATAGGGACCTTGCTACAGAAACTACACTTTACAAAGAAAAGGAGCAGCTAGGAAGGGATGGGCTGTGAAGGAAGTCAAGGAAGAGAGCACACCACTTTGCAATCTTCTTAGAGACCTGGCATAGATGGAAGGTCAGAGCTTGTATGGAAATGCAACCACCAACATGGGGCCCCAAGACGCCCCAGGAGAGGTCCATGGGAAGCCACAGCTATGACTCGTGGGTCAGCAGCCATGATGCCGGTGGTGGGCTGGATGATATTTTAAACGTGTGTTTTTTCACATGTTCAGAGACTTACATGTCCTAGAAATACAGAATTTTAGAAAGGATGGGGGCACTCATTAGAAATTGTCAAGTTTAAACCCTCAATAGATAAAAAGAGTGGGGTTTAAAGACAATGAACTTGCCCAATGGAGAGGGTATAAAGGGGAGATATAAAATGGGTGAAGAAGAGGAGAGAGCAGGTGCTTGGTGCTGAGGGCGGAGCTGATGGGACATCCATAGGGAGAAAGTATAAAGCTGGGCAACAGCCAGTTCAAGTCAACCAAGAAACTGGCAATTACTGGCAGGTGATGCTAACCACTGCTGCAGAGAGGTACCCTGGGAATTATTTGGAGGAAGGGGAGAAGGGCTCAGCCAAAAAAATAAAATGCCTTTATTCTGAGAGATCTTCAAGCACCTGGGAGCTGGCCTGGGGAGAGGTATGTCTAGAGCTAGGAGAGAACTTTTACTGAGGGGAAAGGGACCCCTAGGAGGTTGGGTGAAAGCTTGTGAAGTCAGAACTGAGATTAGAAGTATGGTTTCCTAACCAAAGCTTGTGCTCCTCCCATAACACCATTGAATCTAAACAATAGTTGTCTGGTCTGTAGGGATCAAAGAAGATGAACTATTGGCAAGGAGGTTAAATCAGATGATGTCTAAAGATTAGCCCCAAGATCCTGCCTTACTGGCTGCTCATTCTATATTGTAGGAAAAAATGCTGATATGGGGGCTTCCCCAGAACATTATTGAGCCCCACTCTATGCTTAAGGCTTGCCTGAATTTGCAAAACTGCATAGTGACAGTGCTGGGGTAATATTTTGGGATTGCTTACTTTGAGTTCTATTCCTTTAAGACAAGCTCAATTAATCTAATTTTATTATACAAATGTTAAGATCATGGAAAGAATTTGAACAAGAAATTGAAATTATGGCCCCTGATGTCCCAAACAAACTCTACTAAACATATGTACTTCTCTTCTTTCTATGATTTGTTACAGAAGAATCAGTTCAAAACCCTGAGAAATGAGGAAGAGAACGCAAATGTGAACCTTAAATATCTTAAATAATTTACTGAATGAAACCATGGTACAATTAACTTACAAAGAGGAGACTCGAATTCATAACTACTGGAATCTCTATTTAACACAAGTTCTATTATTGCTGAAGGGTTAAGTGCCAAAGTAAAGAGGAGACACAAAAAATGCCTGATGTTTTTGTGAAGGTAATTAAATATACTCCTATAAAGTCCACAGCCTATAGGGGCATTAAAATCATAATAAATCATTGTTGAAATTATTTAATTTCTAGAAAAATAACTCAGAAACAAATAATCACATTTCTAAATGTACACAACCTATTAATGTAATTTGAAGGAACAGTAGTTTGCATTGGTAAACTGCATTTATAGAATGTACAATGCTTCCACGGAACAAAACCTGAAACAAAATTTTAAATTTGTTCTTAAACAGAACTCAAATACACGTTTCAGATTAACTTTCAATTCAATCATTTAATAGTCAAAGCACTTCAGCAAATACTGAAGAATAAATATGATCTGTCTACTCTAAACTGTTGTTAATACCATACTTGCGTATTTGTGTTTCATAAGAAGAAAAACATAGGGTAATTTAGGGTTAAAGAATGTAGAATTTAATTAATTTAGAGATGTTTCTTTGACTCCAATTTTGATAAAAATAAAGATAAGAGAAAAATCTTCCTCTCTACCTATTTTTATAAACAGTTTTCTTTTATACATTAAGATAATTCCTAACACTGGACATACTTTATGGATGCAAACTAATACTATTAACATACATATAGAAACAACATTTTGAGTTCCCTTTCTCTTTGTCTTGAAATGGAATATAAACGCCAAAAAAATCATGTAATAAATGTGAAATGTCTGAGCAAACAATTAACTCCACCTGAAGTTTGCATTACAAAATTATCTTAGATTTTTTACTCATTTTAGAGATGAAAATATTACCCCCAAAAAACATTTCTAATTTTAACAAAATCAAAATATAACCGAAACATTTAAAAGGATGTGAAATTTTAAAATAGCTAAAAGGAGAAAAACCTTAACATTTTATCAGCTTTTATGTTTAACTTACCTTGTGAAAAGTCAGGAGATTCTAACTTTAGAGTCCTGTCTGTGCAGTTTCTCCCAAACTCAGCCCTGATGGTGAGTTTTCTCTCTGAGTTTTTATAGTCTCAGTTATACACCCCTTACTCCAATCCCTGCCTTTGCTTTCTCTTACATCATTTCTACAGATTTTCCACTGAACATTTCCCCAAGCCTCTTTTCAATCTCTCTCTCTCTGTTTCCTCCTCCTATTCTTTCTTTTCTAATTTATTATGCCTATTGCTTTGATCATGGCATTTTAGTAAAAAATGGGAGTTGGGGCTTTGGAAAATTTAAGTATACATTTAACATTGTGCTTTCAGCCTTACAGCCATCACATCTTACTGAAGTTTTTGTCCAGCTCAGATAATTACAAACCATATTTTGGAAATTCATTGTATTAAGATTTGTTTTTTTAAAAAATCACTAGGGTATTTCAAACTGAGATTTCGGGAGATTATAATCAGAAACCAAAACTGATTTATTGTATGTTTTGGACCCTTAAATTAAAGGATCATGTATGGAAATGGTGAGCAGTTTCAGCTCCGTCAGGTGAACAGCGCTGTGTCAGTGGAACTGACAGCTACTTCATAATTAACATTGCTATACTGGGAAGCTGTCACTAACAAACCTAAAAATACTGAACTGCAACATGTGGGCTATAAATGCAGACGTTGTGATCATTCTTATCTTGCTCTTGCTGTCTAGTATTTAAATTTCCTTTTAACCAAAACATTCCCCTGCCTCTGTCTAAAAATTTTCTCCATTCCCGCTTCCTACTATCTCTATATGCAACTTCACATAGACAAATTGCAAAACAGTGTTATTAAGTCCTAAAGGTACTATGCTAATGTGTTAGATCATTATTAGCTCATTTGTCTCACCAGCAGGTCCCCATTTGATGGATAAAGAAACTGAGGCTCGATAAACTGAGTGACTTTATGAGATCACACAGCTAGAAGTAGTAGCAGAGCCAGATTTCAAATACAGATCTTAATTTCGTATCCAGTCTTTTCCCACAAGTTCATTCTGTCTCACTATTTAAAAAGCTAGAAGAGAGAATTCAAACCATATTATGTTTTTGCACAAATAAAAATAAATTTGTTCTTTTTGGTTTTGCCTAAAAAGCCATTTAAAATTCTACTCACCAGTATAGGAACTATTACATGGTTAATTTGGATCTCAATGGGGAACTGACCGGAGCACACTTGAATTGGTGGAACAGTAAAATGCTTCATTTTTATGAAGGGTTTCCAGGGATAACATATGTCTCAACAAGCTTGAAATCCGAGTAGTTGGCAGTGATAGTTCACAAGTCAAGATAAAAATACAGCCTAATTGTGGACTCTTGTTTAGACATTACTGCCATAAAATGATTATGTTAGCTTGAATCCACATGATGGAAAACTCTCAATATAGATTTAACGGATACATCATAATGCTACCAGAAGCCAATATTCTTGACGTACCTTCCACCCTTATTTGAAACGCCTCCCTCAGCATGCTGACAAGTGATATCTGTGGCTGATTTATTCCAGATCTGTCCCTGCTTAGACAGTCCAAAGATTCCACCCTATTTGTGGATTTTGTTGACCTAATTCAAAAGTTTGACTTAACTGTTCTGCAGCAGCAGAAATAGCAACAGTTTATTCCAGGAACAAAACCATGGTACATTTAAGCCATTGATACAGGGTTCTGCATATTACACACCCCTATGTAAATTACTTATGCATTTGTACATAATAGGAAATTTCTGTTATCTTAAAAAAGAGGGTAGAAATGGAACCATGTGAAAAAATAGAAAGAGAAACAACAGTGATGAATGGGAGAGACTGAAATGAGAAAGGGAAACAATATCAATGAAGAGTTTTTCCGTTAGTATAGCATTGTTTCATTCCCATAACAGCCTTGCCCAGAAGGTATCATTACTCATATGCAACAGATGAGAAAATAAAAGCTCACATATGTGAAATGACTAGCCTAAGTGCTCACAGCTTAAAAACGATAGGACCAGAAGTTGTTGCTCTTTCTATCAGTGAGGATTCTGATAGGAAAAAAATGGTGCATTTAAATTCAGTAATTCGGGGAGAATTTAATGTGGATAGAATGTAGGGGAACCAGAAAGGGTTAAAGGTGATTACAGGGACCCAGAGACAGAGAAGTCTGTATAGAGAAAGTTGTCTAGCAGAAGCCTGACCTTACATCAAGAGCCATGTACAGGGGAAGAACACTTTGAAGTAAACAACCGAGATTTCACTTTGCTTCCTGGATACAATCTCCCATGGAATTACCTTTGTTAAAACCCAGCTGACAAAGGGATTGAGACGGGGAGATAAAAGACCCAGGACATTATTTAACCTCAAAACTGTGCTAAGACCAACGTGACTGCAAGTGCCATTACCTGCATTATTCTCTCATACTTCCTACCATTTTTTTCAAGTCGGGTTTTTTGCAATATAATTTATGTCTACAAAATTCACCCTCTTAAGGTGTACAGTCGGATAAGTTTTGACAAACGTAGAAAGTATGTAGCCTCCACTACAATCAAGATATGGAACATGTCTATAATAACCCTCTCCACCCAAATTTTCTTCATGCCCCTTTACAATCAAACCCCTACCCTACCCCCAGGTCCTGGTAACCACTGATCTGATTTCTGTCCCTATAATTTTGCCTTTTCTAGAAGGGTAAATGAGCCTAAGCTGCAGTCTGGCCTCCCTCTGAGGGAGGTGACTGGGCTGATCCGGGAAAGGTGCCAGCTCCATCACCCTGCTGCTTGCTGCCACTGCTGGCTGCAGCAGTCACCAAGATATCTTCAACATGGAGTCCAGTCCCTTCACCATGAAAAAATGACAACTTTCTTTAGGCATTTTCAAGATGTGTCTTTCATAGGATATGACATTTCTTAGCCCATCCAGCAGCGGACCTTAGTTTTTTCCTCCAGGAGTGCGGTGGAAAAACCCTAGATCACCTTCTTGTATTCTTACTACTCAAGTTACCAAGAACACTGTGAGTGGGAGCGTACAGGGGCCAATGAGCAGTCAGAAAAGGTGTTTGCTCTGCAGCTCACATGCAGAGCACCCCCTGCATAGTGTCCACTGGGCTGGGGGTGTGCTGCCTGCCCAGACACCCTCGCTCCATAGCCAAGGAGTGGGACACTATGGGAGCTGCCATCTTTGTGGCAGAGTGATGGTTAATTTGCATATTATCCATTATTAGATTAGATAGGAAATAGAAAACATTAATTTCTAAAATCGCTCTCCCATTTTGCATTCCTACCTGAAATGTGTGGGAGTTCAACATCCTTGCTAGCATTTGACATTGTCATTTTCAAAAATTTAGCCATACTAATAAATGTATACTGGTATTTCACTGTGTTTTAATTTATATTTTCTTAATGATTAATGATGTTGAGAAACTTTTTGTGTACTTATTTCCCATTTCCTATATCTTTTGGTGAAGTGTTTGTTCAAATCTTTTACTAATATTCAGTTCTGAGAGTTCTTTACATATTCTAAATAGAAGATTTTTGTGGTGTTTTTTCATTCTCATAATAGTTTGTTTTACCAAATAAGCATTTTTTATTTTGGTGAAGTACAATTAGCCATTTAACAAAAAATGTATCATGCTTTTTGTGTCATAAGTAAAAAGTCAAAAAATAATTCCCTCACAAAGTTTGCAAAATGTTCCCCTATGTTTTATTTCTAGAAGTTTTTCAAAATTCTTTGGGCTATTTTAGGTCCTTTACATTTCCACATACATTTTAGGATCATCTTATCACTGTATACAAAATAGCTTGCTGAGATTTTATTGAAATTTCTATAGACCAAGTTAAGGAACATTGATATCGTGACATTAATGAGTGTTCTTATCTGAGAACATAAAATATTTATTTCTCTTATTTAGATCTTTGATTTCTAGTAACAATATTTTTATTTTCAAAAGTATACAAATCTTGCACATATTTTGTTAAATTTATCCTTAATTATTTTTATACTGTTATAGACGGTTGTTTTAAAATTTAAATTTCTAAACATACATTCTGAGTTGGTAAAAATAAATTTATCATTGTATATTGATCTTGTATTCTGTCATCTTGGTAAACTCATTCATTAGTTCTAGTCAGTTTTTGGTAGATTACACAGTATTTTTTACATATATAAAATCCTCTTATTTGGAATAAAAATTGTTTTGTGTATTTTGTTTCAGTTTGTATAGCTCTTATTTGTTTGTAATTGCCTAGTTTCATCAACAGGTTTTCCAGTACAATACTGAATACAAGTGGAAAGTGAATATCCTTGCCTTGTTCTTGATCTTGGTGTGGGAGGGCATTCATTTTATCACCATTAAATACAATAATGTAGTTTTTGTTTTGTATTTTTTAATATTTTTTATTGATTTTAGAGAGAGAGTATAAGAGAAGGATAGAAAGATAAAAACATCAATGAGAGAGTAAAATCAATTGGCTGCCTACTGCATGGCCCCGGCCTGGGAATCAAACCCATGATCTCCTGGTTCATGGGTTGATGCTCAACCACTAAGCAACACTGACCCAACAATGTAGATTTTTATAGATGTCTTATATCAGGTAGAGGAAATTCCCTCTTGTTAGTTTTCTCAAAGCTTTTAAAAAGTCATAAGTAAACATTAAATTTGTAAATTAAAAAAAATATTTTTTCTGCATTTAGTGAGATGATTCTATTTTTAGTCTATTGAAATGGTAAATTATAATCTTCCTTTCTAAGATAAAAACCACTTGATCATAATATATTTCCTTTTCTATATTTTTATGAAGAACTAATACTTTTAAGGATCTTTATTTAAGTGGAATATAGACCTTTTTCTTCATTTAAAATGTATTTTTCATATTTTGGTTTCAGAGTTATGCTGGTCTCATATAATGATGGGGAAGAATTAGACCCTTGTCTTAGTCCCCTTATGCTGCTATAACAAAAATACCACAGACTAAGTGGCTTAAACAACAAACATAGTATATAGTAGTTCTCATTTTCTGGAATCTGGGCAGTCCAAGATTAAGGTGCCTACAG